CCACAACTGTCACCCAGCTGAACCACATTAGCTGCAATGGTGGCTACAAACTGGTGGTTATGGGCCCTACTGGGGGCTTTGAAAGCATTTGCCCATGTATGCTGTCTGCTGGCCTGCCACCATGAATCACAACATTCTATATGTATCCTAAATGAGGTGTGTGAAATTAATAAGAATTTTTTCACAGATATTTAGATGAGCCAGAAGAATGAGACCCAAGAAGATCTGAGGTAAATGCCAGCCTCTATAACTGACTTAATCTTTGTTCTTATATAAGCCATTCACCTTGAGGGGCAGGTGAAGGATGGGGATTTTCCATTATAAACCTGGGATGACAGTAGTGGTTACCCGCAAAGACAGTTGTTTAGTGACCAATTGTACTGTACATGACTTATCTATCGCCAAGCTTTACATCATAGCAGTCTTTGTTTTTCCACATCACAGATATTACTGTAATAGATATTGTGGTTTTACTACCATTGTTTATATATAGCCTTCCGTTAACTAATATATTTATATTTTTTTAAAAGCAGCCCATCCATCATAATGTGATCATGGGGGGAATTTGAATGGAACTACTTAAGTAGTAATGGAACCATACGTTTGTTCACAATTTAGGAAATGGTTGGTTGGCAACCATCCGTCTCAGACAATGAAGGAATGTGCTTTTGAGGGTGAAATCAAACTGTTGCAAGGTTATAGCACCTGCTATGGCTTAAATAGAATTAAATGTCAAGCACAATAGTGTGTATGCTGACCCTATAAAGTTTATACTGTTCTGGGCAAATATTCCTCAATAATTTCTAGATGATTTTCAATTCTACTTATGTGAAATGGAAGAACTATTTATCAAGATATTTACCATACAATAATGGTAAAATCAGAGAAGACTCTCTTTGAGCTAAACGTAAACACAAATTTCAACTTTGTTTGCCTCTGTTAATTTAGAAGGCTTGCACGGAGGGGGGGGGAATGGTAACATAATTTAGCAAATAAATCAGATAACCTTTCTGACACAAATAGGGACCCACCAAGTGTGAGGAGAAGCAACTGTCACAGCAGACATATACTGTCTCATATACTGAAGCATAGTTAGATCAGGGTAGACTGAATGGTGCAATGAAAGTTAACATTTGCTTTCAATGAACACACAAGTTTATTTCTGCTATCTTCAACTGATCTTTCCCTCCATTCTTATAGACCAAGCTATGTAAGTTTTCTTTGGACACCCAATCTATGTTAGCTTTTACACTTAAAATAATAAATTCATTTGCATTTTCCATAAATGAGTACTCAATGAGATTACAATGGATGAGAATATAAAAGGGGAATGTAAGCCCAACAACACAGGAGCTCTAATTATTTTATCATTAGATACCAATATTGCACTTACCACCCCAAATATTTTAACTCTCAGCTTTTGAATGTGCCAGGCCAAATTGCTCATATACACTCTAAGAAGTGGTGTCAGCACAGTGACAAAAATCCAGGCTGAAGTTGTCTGGGAAATCTCATGTCCTTGGCCTTGCCTCACCAAATAGATGAAAAATTATAGGATGAACTTGACTGCCTTAGAACTTACTACCCTTCCAGCCTCAGTAGGACAGCAATTCACAGGAGGCAATTTCACAGGGATTTATTTAGGAGATTTAGTCAGCAGTGAAACTGCCTCTCTCTTCCCCCCACCCAAACAAATGCCTCTTCTTTGTAATGCATTGTTATGCTCACTGCTACAAAGGATGTAATACAATGTTCTAGGTACATGCAATGGTAAATTATCTGGAGGGGAGAGACAAAGTATCAGAGAGGGCAAACTATTGAAAACAGGAGGGACATGATGTCCAACTTAGAGCCAATTCATATATTATATAAAAAGTGGATGAAGAGAAGTTCAACTTGCACATCCTTCTCTGTGAATTTCTACGGTAAAGTGAGAGCTCATAAATTTCATTGTGAGTTCAAACTTGCAAGATAATTTTCTACGGTCCAGTGTAAGCTGGATAATAAGAAGCATGAGTGAATGAGAAGGAATGAGTGTATGCAAATATACACTCTGAAGGCAGCTCTGTTTAGGGAAGCTTTTAATGTTTAATAGGTTATTGTATTTTGGTGTTCTGTTGGAAGACACCCAGAGTGGCTGGGGAAACCTAGCCAGATGGGCGGGGTATAAATAACAAATTAATAATAATAATAATAATAATAATAATAATAATAATAATATTGTGCTGCACCTGTCACTGAATAAGGATGGAGTCCAATGCAACTTTTCTGATGGCTTGTTTTCCGGTGGACACCTCTTTTAATGTAAGGGGAGCCATTTTGGCCAATTCCTTCTTTGCGCTGCAGCCCCTTGCACTACCAAAAAATATTTCAGAAAAGTGAGGAGGGGAATAACAGTGGGGAAGCAATGCAGGGCAAACTGGAGGAAATTACCTCCCCTTCTCTTATATTAGCAGTGGAGTTTGCTGGAACAAAAGCTGTTCCATGAGTGGAAATACAACATTGGATTCCACCTGAAAGTGGCTGGAAAACAAGTCACAGGAAAGAAGATAAACGTGCTCAGGAACCAGCATAGGACAATGAATAATCCCTGAAATTAACTCTGATTGAAATCCCATCTGACACATATTGGAGGAGCTCTACCATCTCTCAGCATCAGTTCCAATACATTGTACAATGATAGGCAATGAGAAGTTGTAAATTATGTTGTATTTTAAAAGCTATTAAATAATAACTTATTATTTAGAAAGTTCAACTGTCATGGTACAGGTGCACAATTGGCAACAAAGTTGGGCAAGTGCCAGGTGCCAAGCATTTTTTCCCCTGGGGTTTCCATGCTGACACACACAAACCAGAAGAATATCCAGTCCACCCTTACCACTGCCATTTCAATACTTCCAGAGAGGTAGGATTAAAGAGGTGATTCAAACTTCATGCTGCACTGTTCGGAACAGTCGTGACTCTTTTCTGGAAGGTGGGCATTTCAGGTCTCTTACCTAAAGAATCACGTAAACTTGCAAACGATACACCTAGAAGTTAAATGGAGGGCAGAGTTGGAGCCTAAATGCAATGTGCATATGTATAAGGTCCAGAAGGCCCAGGTGGTAAGAGGTAACCCCAAGGATAGGGACTGATAATGGAATGGGGGGGTGAGATGCAAGGCTTTGCCTAAGAGCCAATGTGACATAATGGCAACTATTTTGTGGTTGAATGTGACAAAACGTAGGTTTGAAAATGTGCTCATGCGTTACTGGGTGGCCTTGAACAAGTCAGTAGTTCTCAGTCTAACAGCTAGTCTATCTATCAGGGATGTTACAAGGATAAAATGAGATAAACTACATGGAGATTAAATTTAAAGCATGTGCAAGGCTGGATTAAGGTTGTTGGGGGCCCTGTTGGAGTTCCCAAAATAGGTCCCTCAAAAGGAATGAATGAAACAAGGTATTTTTTAAAAAAGAAAGTCTTGTGGTATTTTAACAACTAACAGATTTATTTGGCATATGCTTTACTGGATTCTGACCCTGGAGAGTTTCTCAACTCTCAGCAAAACACAAACAAAAAAACCCATCTTGACAAGCTTGATAAACAAAAAGAAAATACTGTGAGCATGTCCAGTTTCACATTTTAAACTCATTTAATTCATCATTGTTTTTGCTCATTTCTTGCCAGCCTACCTCATATGACTGTTGTGACAATATAGAAGAGGTATAAAATGGCTGCAAAAGGGGACTTAGCGCTTGTATCACAGACATTACAGTTTTCCTCACACTTTCAACATTTATTTTATTTAATAAAATTTGTATACTGCTTAATTGTAAATAAAACTTTTAAGTCATTTTCCTTCCTAAGTTTCTTTCCAGGAGGGCTAGATCTTCTTTTTTAAAAAAAAAAAGTCTGAGCCCCCTTGCAGGCATGGGCCCTGGTGCAATTGCTCCAACTGCACATTATAACCTGGCTGTGTATGTACTAAGTGAGGCTGACTGGACACATGGAAATGCTGTTTGTAAGCAGCTTCTTTTATCTCCTGTTAGAAATACATTTAAATATCATATGTGGAAGGAGGAGAGCTCCACCTACTTTGATGGTTAACAGGTTTTAGAATTTTTTGTGTGTGATTTCGCCCCGGTCCCAGTAAGCTGATGGATAGTGCATTTTAGCAAATAAAGAGATTGCTGCTGTGCTGCATTAGTGGCATCATATGTATACTAACAACCTGACACATTCCAGTATTAGAAGCTGTACTTGAAGATACAACAGCCAAAGGCAGCACATAATTGTTTGTAATTTAGCACAAGTGATGCCTCTCTAATCAAATTCTCTTGTTGATATACTTCCGGGGTCTAGGCTTCCAGAAACAAAAGCATGGCTTTCATTTTTGGTTAACTTTTCCAGATTTGGTAAGTTGTGAAAAATATAATATGGTAAAAATGGTACCTTGGGGAACACTTTTTAAGTCTATTTAATTAAATGTAATGATAATCTGTGCAACATCTGATCAAATTTTTCATTAGATCTCATTTTTAATTTTTCACTAGCTTCATAATAAAGCATAATGATAAACCAAACCAATCATGAGCCTGCTTATAGATTTTCTGCTTTGTAATGTTCTGTACCATAAAATCCCCCGCCTTCCCCCATGAAACACCAAGTAGCAAATTGCAGTATTATAGCCTTCCCTTAGTGACTGAAACATCCATTTCTGTGTGGCATCAGACTAATAGATATATTTCCGTAGGTAAATGGAAAGAATTTCTCGCTGTAATCTTATTTGAATTTCATTTCATTTGATTAAAGTAGGGAGGAGGGAGGGGAAAATTAAACAAAAGAATTCAAAATGAAATTGAAGAGATGTGTTGCTGGAACGAAAGTGAAGACAGTACCTGACATGATTTTCCTGAGCATAATGCTGCCAGACCTAATAGGGCAAGCTGTGGTTTGAATGGATGATATCTTAGGTTTTTGTAATGCTAAAGGACTTATCAAGGTTTTTTTTTTTTTTTAAGCAGACAGATAAGGGAATCTAAAGTTATGTCAAACAAATTACATTTTAGTTATTAGCGGCTAGTTTGTAAATATCAAAGACCCACTTATTATAGTGCTTGGAGCTGCATTTGCATGCTGATGAAATGCGAGTGGATGGCTGTGAACTGTAGGGTTATCTCTAGTGGAGCAGTGGGGAGCTCCAGAATCAGACAGTTGAGCATCTGACCGACTCAAGAGTCCAAGCTGCAGACCTCTTCTATTCACTTTCTTCACAACAATTAAAATATGCAAAGTGATAATTTTCCTTAAGTAGCCTTAAATGTGCGATCTATTTAAATGTGAGGGAAAATTGCCTGAAGCTTCTGGTGTGAGGGACAAAAAAGAATAAATTATGCAAATAGCGGAAAAGGACTCTACCACTTGAACGCCTAATTTTCCTGTAATAAGCATACTGTTTCATTTAATTTTTTGCCTCTTATTAAAAGTGACAGTTCTTTTTGCACTGTCTGATGGTTATATCTGACACAAGCAAGGGGAAATGACTGCTAGACTAAATGCTAAAGCGTTTTGGTAGCTTTTTTAGATGATGGTTACATTCACAAAGTAATTATGCACTGAAGAGTCGAGAAATAAGGTTTAATTACACAGTAATCGCTTCTGATGGACACGGCAGAAGTGTGAACACCGCCAGACTGCAATCCATCAATGACAAACCCCTGGCCACTTTTAATTCCTCCTCATTTGCATCATAACCTCCGCACCAAGTTGCACAAATGCTGTTAAATGTTAATAGGAGCTGTCTCTCCACTCAAAATGAATGCTTAAGCTGTTTCATTTTTTTCCCTCCTCCACCTCAGACCTTCAAAACCAGCTCCTCTCTGAGAGCAGGCATTAAGCACAGAGCATGGTGCATGGTCACTGTTGTGCTAATTGGGAGCAACACTTAAAGTTTTATCTCTCAAGCGCTAATAATGCACACTGCTGACAAACCAGTGAATAAGTAATGGACTGGGGGTGTGGGGGGTGAAGAGAGAAGGCAAACGGCATGCCTGGAATGAAAAATGCAGTTGGGACTGTTGTTCAGTGACTAGCTATTTGATTAGGCCCTGTAGTCGTATTTAATCCAGATCCTTGGGGAACATAGACAAAATTACATCTTCATCTCATCAAACATTCAGCCATATTTAAGCATTCAGCTGATCATGCTTTTATTGTTTCTCTTGCAGCTACAGAGAGACAATGATGTGCTGAACTCTTCATTCTGTAACACAGAAAGACTGAGCTTAAACTAGGTTCTTTTATTGGGGAGAAGGGCAGAATTGGATCTATGGTTTAAGCCCATTAAGTATGGAGAAGGGGTTCCTCCCCCCCTTGTTTACCAATTTATTTATAATCTCCTCTTTCTTTTTTCCCTTCATCATCCATGTTTGAACCAACTTATATCCTGAGACCGTTCCACATCATTAATTTTCAAATTATTCTTTTTCTACTAAACAGTAGGCATCGTTTTGTCCTGATAAGAGGACGATTCCTCTGCTGCATACCCACCAGCAAGTTCCACTGACTGTTCCATGGAACAGGAAAGGTAATTTGTAAGCAGCCAGCTAAGTTTAACAGTAGAGTCCTAAGTGACAAAAAGCGTCTTTTTTTCCTCCATGAAGATTGAGAATTAACAACACCTTTCAGTGCATAATAGTTAAGCCTTTATCACTTCAGGAGCTGCTGATAAGGTTAAGAACACTAGACAAACTGCTCATTAGTGGGAAGGCTTGCCTTTTATATTAAAGACTGCTGGGTACTGAAGTTCCTCTAGTGAGCAATACATCCCTGGCATTTGAAAAGAACGAGCTAATCACAGCACATAAATGAATATGGGAAAACATGGCATAGTCTAGCGATATTAGGTTGGTTTTCCTATACATTTTATATGTGTGCAAAAATCATGCTCAGCAATGCAATGCAATTGCAAATTCCCATTGATGCTGGCAACTTAGGCTTCTTGGATTTGCCAGCATCTTCCATCAAGATAACTTCCTTATATGATCTGCTATTCCTCTGGCTGTTCAGCACACATCTAAAAACACAAGCTGTACTCCCCAACTCATTTAGTTCATGATATGACCATGACAAGCAATGCAGACCATTGCAAATTTGTTCAACACTGGTTACCAAAGCAAGAACAACCAAAATAGAAGTGATCAATGTATTTGTGGTTTGCAAACAATTCAAATGGTGATTAAACAATAAAATAAAATAATTGGCTCCATGCTGTCCTTCAGTAATATCCCCAAATTTACTGCCTGAGATATGTTGCTTCATCCCACCCAAGGGTTAGGGCTGACTCTGTACCAAAAGTTAAGTTCAATTTCTGCCCTTGGAAGTTTGTGGTGTGGTAGCCCAGTAAAGGGCTTTCTCTGTTGCAGCCCACCAAGCAGCTGGGGTAAATTAAAGTGGAACAATCACTTACAGTTTCTGGAGTTCAAAGGCTTTATTCATGCAATAACTATTTGCAGGATGAGTGGAGATGAAAGAAACAGATGACATCTCGTCTGGGGAAAAGAACAAAATGGCTTAGTTTTGGCATGAAGTTAACTCAGAGAGCTAAAAAGGGCGTTGGCTCGATTGCTACACAGTGCCCTTTGGTAGTTTAAATAAATGCATTCATTTACTACAAACTCAAGAGAAGGAAATTTGTTTTTCTCCAACAACACCTAAATTGTGGGACTCTGTCCCCACAGAGTGGGGTGTGTCTGGCACCTTCGCTGTATAGCTTTCAGTGTGTGCTGAAGACACAAGCCTCTTTTTAAAGGGTGCACCCTGTTCTTCTAACTGTTGCTTTGCTAACCAAGGAAACCCCCTATTGAATAAAGTGTTCACTGACTTCCACCACTGAGGTTCCTTAAAGCACATAAACATAAAGAGATAAAGGAGTTGCAAAATATGCATGCTCAGAAGTAGTTTGAAGGACTGTAGTTCAGTGGTAAGGCCTCTCTGCCTTGCATGCAGAAGGTCTCAGGTGCAATCCCTAGTGCCAGTTAGGCCAGACAATTCTGAGCTATGGTCTGACTCAGGATCAGGCAGCTTTTGCTACATAACCCAAAAGTGTGGTTGCAGCCAATAATAATAATGATTATTATCATTATTATTCAATATTCAAAAGAAAAAGAGAGCATTGGGGCAGTGACAGAAAAACAATTGCAACCCACTATCATTATCTCTTAAGTATCTTCCTTTTTCCTATTATTATTATTATTATTATTATTATTATTCAATATTCAGAAGAAAAAGAGAACATTGGGGCAAGTGACAGAAAAACAATAGGAACCCACTATCATTATTTCTTAAGTATCTTCCTATTTCTCTCACTCCCTCCAAGATATTTTCTAGCTATGAAATCCTTCCAACACCTTCGCTAGCTAGGCCCAGCAATGGCCTCTTTTTAATAAATTTTTATTATTATTTTGTCAAAGTAATAAGAATAAATAAATAAGAATAAAAATTAAAATAAGAATAAAAATATTCTTCACACATTTTTATCCTTCTTATTCTTATTTTTATTCTTAGCAATGGCCTCTTCACTGCTATCCACTATTGAGTTTACCTCAGGATTTGTGAATGCTATGCAACACTAACTTAAGTGTTAAGTTGCAGGATTTTATTTTTATTCTTTTAATGAGTGGTCCTTTTATATTGAACCCTACTGAAATCTTGTACATACGCCAATAAAGCTTTGAGAATACGAACCTGGGAATTTACCTCAGGAGGTTTGCTGGTTCTTCAAAATGGAGGCCTTTCTGCCTGTTCCCTCAGGGATTAGCATACGTTCTTTGCTCCGCTTACTGAGGCATTACCCCCCCGCCCAATTTCGGCCTCATAAACGCTTTTAAATAAATGAAATGAAACAAAACCAAATGAAACAAATGCAGCTGCTTGTTTCCCCCATAGGTTTCCTTTCTTCTGCCTGGAACAACGAAGCCTCAGGAGTCTGGTTAGGGCCGGCTCGGTTGCTAGTTTACGGGCCAAATCCTTTCCACCCTCTGTCACGTTACAGGTATTTTGACTTTGGGCCCTTTCAGGTGCGTTTCCAACGTGGCCCAAACAGTGGAGGCAGCAACCGCAGGCATGTCCTCTCAGCTCATTTCCTCATGCCCGAACCGCGAGGCAGCAAAGTCGTGAGGCCAGCTGCCATTTCTCACGGACATACCCCGAATGGGCTCCAGCTGCTTTTGATCTGACTGCAGTTTCATTTTTGCCAGCCATGCCAACCCTCCGGGAGGGCAGGGCGAACGCGTTCTGTGAGGTCTGGGGTTTGCAGGAGGAGGACTCTGGCTACCTAATTCCCAGTCAGGTGTTCTCTTCACACAACTAAGAGTCACGTGGAAGGGAGAGCAAGGCCCCGCCTTCTGCCACTCATGCAATGAAGGGGAGGAATCCATAGCAAGAGCGTGTTCAATACACACCTGTTTGCCTCCCCTTGAAACCTGTGTGCATGCAGACATGGCCCCATGTGGGGAGGGGGCCAAGGCTGTAATTGTGGAGCTAGAAGCTGTGACCCCACCATCCCCTCTCATGTGAGAGCTATAAATAAGTCAAAAATGTGTTTGTGTGTGTGTGTGTGTGTGTGTGTGAGAGAGAGAGAGAGAGAGAGAGAGAGAGAGAGAAAAGGAAAGAAAAGAAAAGAAAAGAAAAGAAAAGAAAAGAAAAGAAAAGAAAAGAGGGAGAGAAAGGGGGAGGAGAAGAGGAGAAAGAGAGAAGAAAGAAAGAAGGAAAGAGAGAGAGAGAGAGAGAGAGAGAAGGGGAAAAAAGAGGCATTTCCAAAGCAGCTAACTTCCTACCAAGAGAGAACTGCTGTACAATTACCACTTTTTATTTTCAAAACTCCTTGCACCCCAGGCAGACTGGAATAATGATGATGTTGTTGTTGTTGCTGCTGCTGTTGTTGTTTGCAACACTTAAAAAAGAAAGAAAAAGTACTGGCAATATACCATCGATATTTTTCCCCACAGCATGCCCATAGTATTCTGTCTACCCACCCACCCCCTCCGCCTCTCCACATTATTGTGGAAATGCCAAACGTCTTGCCTGGATATGGGTTTCATAGGGACAAGTACATACAAGTAAACTGAACTGGTTAGCAGTTGACAAGTACAGAGGAAGCTTCTGGCAAGATGATCACATTTCAACAAGTGTGCAGTTTTATAAAACAAAGATATTTGAGTGAGGTGGAAGTGTTTAGATTCACAGCAAGGTTCAAAGACCGCTCATCTATATATTCAAGATTAAGGCATAGCACTCTGCCCCTCCCCCCCCAAAAAAGTGCCAGCGTTTTTAAGCGTGTTTGTTACGTTTGCTTTTTATATCCATACTAACGAATGCAAGGTCACCCCCATGATACAATCACAATCCCTTTTTTGCTACTCTCTCTGAATGGTGTTCCTGTGTTTTAGTGAGCAGTTAAACCAGTGCAGTGAGACATACTGGAGGTGGGAATTACTGGAGAATCTCCAGTGCTTTCTATAGTCAAACACAGAGCTAGGGAAGAACAAAATTTTGCCAAGGCTCCACACAAAAAAACACTGAATGTGGAGCTAATGTTGCAAACTGACAGAATTTTTGAAGCTGCTATGTGAAAATAAAATAAAACTTGTTTGACCAGTGACCTTTCAATACTACGTTTGCCAAAATATGATCCTGACAAATTGACATATATTCCCAATTTTGTCAAAAACAATTTTTGGAGGCTATATCTCTCTCACACAAAGAATCATTAAAAATGTATGTTTCCTCTCCATCTGGTGTACTCAACTGGGGTGTTGTCAATGGGATCAAATCGTAATCTAGACTGGTTGTGTATAAACAGTTGTCAATATTTCTGTTTCAAAAACTCTTCATTACACGAGTGTTTAGTTGCAGATACTGCAGGAGTTTTAAGAAGGGCAACCGAGAGTTGAAACAGTTCTTACAAAATAGTGGCAGGCAGTCATAAAAAGAGGCAGTTCACAATGCAATCCCAATTCCTAAAAGCCATTGCTCCCTGTTTAGTAGGTGATAGACTATCAGAACCTGCAGTGTGACATGGATCTTTGTGGGCAGAACCAGATATCAACAGTATGTGTCTAAAGCATTTAACAAAATATGTTATTTCATGTGTTGAAGCAAAAGATTTCCCTAAAACGTAGCTAGGATGAGGGACCTCCCATTAGGCAGAGTGAGGTAATCGCCTCAGGTGGCAAGTGCTAGGGAGCAGCAATGGCGCACACACACATACATTCATTTTTGAGCACCCAAGACATTCACATCTGCTAAGTATCAGTGTTGTGTGTCTTGCAGGCCTGTCAAGAACCCTCTGAACTAGCCTGCTGCCCTCAGGTATGCTAGAGGTCACTATTCCACTGCCAATACTTAGGCGTGTTTCATCTGCCAGTCCAGTCAGCTTCATAGAATAGAAGGGGACTCCATCTTACCCTTTGCCACAAGCAGCAAAATACAGTGGTACCCCGCAAGACGAACGCCTCGCAAGACGGAAAACCCGCTAGACGAAAGGGTTTTCCGTTTTGGAGGCGCTTCGCAAAACGAATTTCCCTATGGGCTTGCTTCGCAAGACGACAGCCCATAGGGAAATCTCAGGGACAGCGGGGAAGCGCAGCGCGCCTTCCCCACTGTCCTCGGACCTCCTCCGAAGCCTGGCGGCGGGGCGGGGACACCTCCTCCCGCCGCCGCCGGGCTCGGAAGGCTCCTCCGAGCCGGGCGGGGGGAGGGAACACCTGCCGCCGCCGCCCGGCTTCGGAACGGTGCTCCGGCCGGGCGGGGGGAGGGAACACCTGCCGCCGCCGCCCGGCTCGGAACGGTGCTCCGGCCGGGCGGGGGAGGGAAGACCTCCGCTCTGCCCGGCTTCGGAACGGTGCTCCGGCCGGGCGGTGGGAGGGAAGACCTCCCGCCTGCCCGGCTTCGGAACGGTGCCCGGCCGGGCGGGGAGGGAACACCTCCGCCGCTGCCCGGCTTCGGAACGGTGCCCGGCCGGGCGGGGAGGGAAGACCTCGCCGCCGCCCGGCTTCGGAACGGTGCCCGGGCCGGGCGGGGGGAGGGAAGACCTTCTGAAGGCGGGCGGGGGCGAAAGTCCTTGCTCCCCTGCCTGCCTGTCCCGGAGGGCTTTTGAAGGCGGGGGAGCAAGACTTCGCCCCGCCCGCCTTCAGAAGAGGTCCAGGACCTCTTCTGAAGGCTGGCGGGGGCAAAGTCTTTGTCCCCCTGCCTGCCTTCCCAGGGGCTTTAATTGCCCCGGACAGCGGAGAAGTCCTCCGCTGTCCCGGGGTGATTTTAAAATGCCGCCCGCCAGCATTTTAAGATCGCCTGACAGCGGAGAAGTCCTCCGCTGTCCCGGGTTTTAAAATGCTGGGGGTGGGAAGAAAAGCCCTTGTCTCCCCCAGCCTTCAGAAGAGGTCCGGGGACAGACTGTCCCCGGACCTGGTCTGAAGGCGGTTTCCCTAGGAACGCATTAATTGATTTTCAATGCATTCCTATGGGAAACCGTGCACCGCAAGACGAAAAACTCGCAAGACGAAGAGACTTGCGGAACGAATTAATTTCGTCTTGCGAGGCACCACTGTATATTGGGCCTTCTCCTTCCCATTTTATCATGACAGCAACACTGTGAAGTAGGTTAGGCTGAGAGACAGTGACTGGCCCAAGTGCACTTCATGGCCAAGTGAGGATTTGAACTTTGATCCTAGGTCCAACATTCTAACAACTACTCTGGATCTCATTAACTTATAGTATGCAATCCCTGTGTTCATAGAATTGTTGCCCAACAGTCCTGAAAAATCATGTGTTCCCATGTCTTCTCCCAAACAAACCATATAAAATTAACTCCTTTTGTATGATGAGACTCCACCAGTACCTTTTAGAAAATGTCCAAGGACATAATAACACAATGGTCTGGTTTGCATATCATGGTTAGCCAAACTATGGCATATTGGGGACCACGCAAATGTGCAGGCTCCCAAAGAGGAGTCAACAGCCACTTTCTTCCCACTGCACCACACTGAGCTTAGCCAAGGTTTGAAGTAGGCTGGATCTAGATACATTCAAAAAGCGTTTCAGGAAAACATGTTCAAAAAGGGAAATCACCTTGGCAAAAGACAGGACTGCACAACGCCATCTGGTGTCACAGTGTTATAATGCATATAAAGCGCTTTTTCTTTACAAATGTAGCAGAGTCCTAAGTGTGTTAAGTGCTCTCCTCACTAATAACGACCTGTAGCAGAGAACCTACAGTATGCCCAAAGTCTGCCTTACTATGACATGCAAACCAGGCAAATACAATGTTTGCACTATTGACTATATCTATCATCTATCTATCTATCTGAGCTCTTAGTGGAAAGTTGTATTTGCTTGCTATTTTTGACAGACAGTTCTTGATATATTGCCACACTGATATTCTTCTTAAACAGCTTCCGGCACTTGCCATAAGCTATATAAATCTGTCTACACCTCTATTATCCTACACCTCTATTAGCTACAGTGCTGAAAATGACAAAGCATAGGATTCCCACCTTTTTCTGGCCTGCTCCTATGCAGAAGAACATAAGAAGAGGCTGGTGGCTCAGTCCAAGGACCCATCTAATCCAGCATTCTGTTCTTAGGGTGGCCAACCAAATGCCTGTGGGAAGACAAGAAACTGGACATAAAGCACAACAACACGCTAACACTCTTGAACTCCAGCAACTGGTTTTTTCCCCATTTTATCTCCATGCTGGGAGACGTTTCTACTGATAAATTTCTGCATACCATATTGCCACAACAGCAGGAAGAAGAAGAAGAAGAAGAAGAAGAAGAAGAAGAAGAAGAAGAAGAAGAAGAAGAAGAAGGTGGTGGCGGCAACCATAGACAAAAAAGCAAAGAAAAGAAAACGCCCACTTGCAATTCTAGTTGTAAAATTTGTGGGCTTTTGTTAAATTATCTGTTGATGTTTTGCTACAGTTTTTGGATACATTTTATTGATGCATTGCAAGTCTCTGCTTTACAAGTCAATTTAGTGAATAAATATGAAATAGAATAAAATGCTTTTTATTCCTCCCCCCCTCCAATACGGTTATAATTATGTAGGAATTAAGCCAGTAAAAATGTAGATTGAACCTTGGCTTAATTGGTTTATGTTTAAAGATTCTTTGATCAGCGATAACAGAAATATATATTAACATGTTGCATTTTAAAGTGATGCTGCCTTTCATTAATCAAGTGTCTGTATGGCTGATTAATTTGAACAAGGTTTAAATTGCTATGAAAATTTATCATTCATAGCCATGATCTCCATTTACATATATGTTAATTATGGTAAATGTAATCTTTTTCTGAATCCTCTGGGCTGAATACT